CGGGGGGCTGAGGAGGAACATATGTGATGCCAGGGATTGAACTAGGTTCTGCAGAGTGCAAGGCAAGCAGCCTATCCGCTGTACTATTATTTTGTCCTCTAGTCATTTCGTTGGAGAAGTTCATTGAATCAGACGCTGAAAATAATAACAGCAAAAGTTCCTACTGTCCTGTGGCATCTAGCAACGTTTTGAGGACTCGACGTCCTGCCTGTTCTCCCCCGAGTTCTGAAAATTACCAGCCTGCATTATGGTTCCACTTCACAGTGCTTTCTAAAGCTTCGGGTTCATCAACGGTTTCGACTTCCTTTCTCAGCAAACCCTTGGCGCTGAGCCGTTGCATGGGGAAAGGCTGCATCCACGAACAAGTGTGGCTCCTTAGGGCAAATGCCAGTCTGACGTGAGCCCAGATCTTCCACTAAGCATCAGAAGAAACTCTCAAGACAAAGCCATCACTAATGAGACTAAGAAGGACCCCAGTGTCCTCAAGCTGCTCCCCACCAAGTGAAGCCTGCTGCATCCGACAGGAACTACGATTAGAAATAAAGGTGCCTACCTAAGGATAGTAGATACATGGCGCAGGAAGATTGCTCCATAGCTGGAAGTCTGCCTCATGAGCAAAGGGGAGAAGGCAGCTGGAATAGAGAAGGGATCACTAAGAAAATGATGGCCGGAAGAACTGGTTGAGATGGGAGATGTGTGTTGAAAGTAGATAATGGAACAAACAGGATAACCTCTCAGTATCTGCATTGCAAACCATAATGCCCAAAAGTAGAGAGAGAGTACGGGGGAAATTGTCTGCCATGAAGGCAGGGGGAGGGTGGGAAGGGGGGGTCTACCAGGGATCTTGGTGGTGGGGAATGTGCACTGGTGGAAGGATGGGTGTTTGATCATTGTGTGATTGTAACCCAATCATTGTGTGATTGTAACTATCTCACGATGATTCAATAAAATTAAAATAAATAAATAAAAAGGACAAAAGGAAAAAAAAAGAAAGAAAGAAAGGTGCCTAAAATGCCTCACACAGTATCATGATGCTTCACTTTCTCTTTAGTTGCTTTCTGATTCCTACAAAGTTAAAAAATAAATACGGTTCAGCCCCTGGAAGTTACAAAAGCTTAGAGAGGCGCTTTTAAAGGGGTTCTTAAATCTTTGGACAGGACATACCCTTGAAAATCATCTGCAAACTTTCGCTCTGTAACACCAACATTCTTGAAGGCCTGGAAGCCAAACAGGGAGCCTCCAGCCCTCTTATTTCTGCAGGCAAGGAAATGAGGCTCTGAGAGGAATTCTGACCTAAAGCTGCAGGATAAGTTCTGTGATGAAGAGGAAAAAGCACCCAAGGTCAGAGATTTCACACGTACGGAATGCAAATTCCATCTTCTTTTATGGGAGCAGGCATATCTGGCAGTACTCATGGCTTACACCTGGCTCTGTGCTCAGGGATCTCTCTAGGTGGTGCTCAGGGGACCCTATGCAGTGCTGGGGATTGAACTGGAGGCTGCTGTGTGCAAGGTAAGCCCCTTACACCTATACTATCTCTTTGGCCTAAATTCTATCTTTAAAGTGGTGATAGATGTCACACTTAGAAACCACGGGGGTAAATGGACTCACTATAAAACCTGATTTAACACTCTAATTGCTGCTTAGGAATGAAATACTGAGTTTCCAAAACAGTTTCATAAAGTCAATTGTTACGAATGTGAATTTAAGAATTTCTTTTTGAAAAAAAAAGAAAAAGAAATTTTTTTTTTTGCTTACTGAGGTTTTTGGACCACACCCAGCAGTGCTCAGGGGTCACTTCCAGTCATGCTCCAGGAACTAGGCGATGCCAAGGATCCACCCCCGGCCTCCCACGCACCTAGGCTCTGCCCATCAAGTACTCTCCTCTGAATCCACTTTAAATCTTTCAGCAGCGGAGTTTTCTTTCGGAGAAAGGAGGACTTGTGCCATGAGAGAGATCTGGGATTAGATACCAACTCTAGCAACAGAGTGCCAGCTCAGGTGGCTGGAGTGCATGTTTGCACGCAGGCATCCTGGGTTCGAGTCCCTGCCCTGTACAGACTCTTAAGCACTGCTAAGACATCTGAGAGCCCAGATGAATCAGGAGTTCAGCCTGAGCAATGCCAGACATGTTTATTTATTTTTTTGGAGGGGAAGGGGGAACCACTTCTGCTCCTGCTTCTGTTTTCTTTCTTTTTTTCTGGTTTTAGGCCACACTCAGCTACACATAGGGCTCCCTCCTGGCGGGTCACAGGAAACCTCATGGGCTGCTGGGGATTGAACCCTAATCCGCCATAGGCAAAGAAAGTGTCCTCTCCGCTCTACCCTCTCTCTGGCTCCTGCTCTGATTCTTAGCAGTCAGGGAATGGGTAGGTTTTATCCTTAAAAGTGGGGGTGATAAAGTATCCCATCAAGTTGTTCTGAGGATGGCATGACTGTGTACAAGCATCGGGCATGAAACCAGGCACTTGGCACCCCACGAACACTAGCTGTTATTTCTAGACTATTCTTCAGAGAATGCACTTTGCAGGGACCAGGCACTGGCTCCCTACTACTTCTCCTTGAAGTGCATGCAGGGTGTGTCTGCAGTGAACTAGGTAGCAGCAAGTGGGGATCCCCCAGGCCATTGAGATGAGGACAAAGAAGCATGAAACCAGCCAGGGAGGTCAGTCAAGGCGCTCTAGCTCCCCAGGGAAGGCGGAAGGTCCAGAGAGACAGGGACAGGCAAGAGGGCACAGGGAGCCCCGTAGCCTCTCACAGTCATGGCAGCCAGCCCATACCTGGAGGATGTAAGGTTCCACGCCAGGAACAAAACCCACATCAAGGACATGCCGGCAGGAAGAGGCATGCACCGGAAGTGTCACCGGAAGTGACACTTTATTCTGAACAGCTGGGGAGGGAACAAGCATAGCACCTGCACTCAGATCCTGGGCTCGGGCCTCACTTCCTCCCTCCTGCACTTTCACTCCAAACGATCACACTGGCATCTAAGTGCCGTACTCTAGGCTGCTCCTCCAAGCTATGAACCCATAAGGCAGAAGAAGGATGGTTGTGTGGTATCTAGAGACGTGAAAGCCAAGGCATGGAAAGCATTCATTGCGTAAGGGTGAAACTGACGCCGTGACCGCAGCAGAAATCAGAAAAATCAGGCAGACCTCAGGTTCAGTTCCCAGAACTGAAACAGATTCAGTTTCCCAGCAATAAAACAATGTGCGATTAGCCAACCTGAGCCCACCTGGGAAAGTTCCTGGGCTCAGCAAGTGGGTTCAATTAATCAATTCTCACAATGCCCCAGAAGTTGCTTTTTGTTAACCCAGAAGAGTGAGAAGTCTATGGAATCATCAAATTGGTACTGATACTGGAAATTATTGTTCAGTTGTTGCCTAACCACTGTTACCCTAGACACTTGCCAAAACACCTTTGTTTGGTAACTAAGTAAGATTCTTTTTGAAACAATAAGGCATGTGCTGCTTATGTAATCAAACCCTGTATAAACTGCTTGCTGCCTAAGGTTGGGATTACTATCAAGAGGTCACTATCAAGAGGTCACTCTGTGGGTGAGATAATTGACCCCAGTATACTGGAATAAAACTTCTACTGCTTTTGCATTATCGAGTTGGTGTTTCTGTCCGTCTTGCCACTCGAGAACCCAGAATCCCGGGCTTAACTTCTCTGCTCCAGGGCTGAGAAGTGATTCTTCCAGCCAGGATAATAGGGGGGTGTTTCCTGGTCTTCTTGTGGTCACCTCACAAGAGAGATCAAATTATTCTCTTCAAGTTCAAAAGTGGGCTGGAGCGATAGCACAGCGGGTAGGCGTTTGCCTTGCAGACGATTCCTCCACTCCTCTTGGAGAGTTTGATTCCTCTGAGTTCGATTCCTCCACCCCTCTTGGAGAGCCCAGCAAGCTACCGAGAGTATCTCGCCCACCTAGCAAAGTCTGGCAAGCTACCTGTGACGTATCCGATATGCCAAAAACAGTAACAACAAGTCTCACAATGGAGACGTTACTGGACCCACTCAAGCAAATCAATGAACAACGGGAGGATCTTGACCGTGACCGTGAAATTCAAAAGTGCAATCTGGGCTCTAAGTCCAAAGATTCTGTAGGTGTCTAGAAACCTCAAATGCTAGAGCCCGGATGCTTGGTTCAATGCTCTGTAGAGTGCAGAGCAGCTTGGAGATGGGGTGCAGGGGGAGGGACACACACAGAGGCTGGGGTTCACAGACAGGTCTCATAAGGGTGAATCTGAGGGTGGTGCCAAGCAAGGAAGCTGCAAGGACTCAGAGCCTTGAAGAAGTGGGCCACACGTAAGCAGTGAGCGATTTAGACCTCTAGAGAGAATGCCAGGCTGCGTGGCTGCCTGTGGTCAAAAAATCCTAGCACCGCAGGTAGGGCGTTTGCGTTGCACGCAGCCAACTGGGGTTCTATTCCTCCATCCCTCTCGGAGAGCCCAGCAAGTTACCGAGAGTATCCTGCCCCCACGGCAGAGCCTGGCAAGCTCCCTGTGGCGTATTTGACATACCAAACACAGTAACAACAAGTCTCCCAATGGAGATGTTTCTGGTGCCTGTTAGAGCAAATCGATGAACAATGGGAGGAGAGTGCTACAGTGCTATAATTCTACAGACAAAGCACCTGTGGCCACAGAGGGACTCACCCATCATCTGAGAAAAACAGGAAAAGAAAAATGATGAGGCAAATAGCCTCAGCTATATAGATATCTGACAGGGTCTTCCTAAGCACGGTGAATAATATGTGCCTAGTAGTTTGTGACTTTATTTCATGGTGCTAGGGAGTGGGGGCAGGGGGGCCATCCCATACATGCGGGGCAAGTACTTCTCTACCCCAGCCCCGATTCGGTGATGGCTTTAGATGACTTAAGGAACAGGGTGGTAACCAATGTATTTCACAGTCAACAACAGTAATAATACGCAAGCAGTAAAGTAGGCTTTTAAAAGACATTTTACAAAATCTGGTCTTTAAGCTGTTCAAATGGGTACAAATGCCATTGTTAATGGAACCGAGAGAAAACTTTATTTTCAACAATAAAAGACTACTTTGTTCGATGAAACCAGGCAGAAGGGAAACTCTAAAAAAAAAAAAGCGCTTCCGTAATGAGCATTTAGTTGGTTTGAAAGGGCCACAGGGAAATCATTTCCTTACAAAGAGGTTGGAAGAAGTTTTTTTAAAACCCCGCGCTATGAACAGACTTGATGAAGTATGAAAGACTTTGTAACAGTGGGTTTAAAAGCCTTCCCGTGGGGAGAGGACATATTTTCATGGATCTGAGCCATCTCCTCAGGAGCTGACAGATAGGGCTAGAGAACGCCTCCTCATGGGAAGATTATTCAGAAAAACATGATCTGGAGTTTGGAAGTAAGCGGCTGTTAGGAAGTTATCCTGAATTAAGAGTTCCTGGAAGTAAGGCACCTGTGGGTCAGAAAGGCTGGGGGGAGCGTAAGGGCCTGCGATGGCCTTTCCTAACCAGGGGGGGACAGGCCAGGCAGAGAGGACGCCTCTCCCCTTGCCTCTGGCCTTTTGCTGACAAGAGGGCACAGACTGCATGGAAGTCAAAGGAAGAGGGAATTTCACCTACTGAGAAATTATCTAGAAACATTTTAAAATATTTTCAAGAGTAAGCAATTATCTTCTATCAATCACCGATTTCTCTCTCGGTACTCAAAAGAACGCTAAACATCTTTGACCTGTGGTTAGTTAGGATCACTACCCAGCCTAAGAAATCACACTTGATATCCGGAAGCGGGAAGGGAGAGAGAAGAGTCAAGGTTCCTGCTCTACGCTCCCCCTAGGTGGAAGGCTGACTGTCATCCTGCATCTCATTCCGGGAGGGAAGAGCTCGTGGTGGCTGTGGCCCCCAGGGCTCATTTTTTCGCTCCCACAATGCCCTGCAGCATGTCGATGGGCAGAGGGAAGACGATGGTGGAGTTCTTCTCAGCTGCAATGGTGGTGAGCGTCTGCAGGTACCGCAGTTGTAGGGCGGCGGGGGACTCAGTGATGACCATGGATGCTTCTTTCAGAGCCCTGGACGCGTTCATCTCTCCCTCGGCAGCAATGACCTGTGGAGGGTAGAGATGAGAGCTCAAAGTGCTGCAGCATTTGGGCGTTGACTGGAAAATGCCCGATGGGGCTCCACAGACCTGAAGGTGCCAGAATTCCTAACGAGAACCAATTCCCAGACACCCGCTTTCCATGCGTTCTTTATTCCTCTAATGTCTACTGCTCCTTTGCAGTAAAAGCATTGCTTAGCGTCACCCCATGGAAATCTACCTTCTCAAAGTAGACAAGCAGAAAGTGCCCCTATGTGCATTAAAGCCCTGATGGCAGCCCGAAGTCACCTGGGCATAAGCCAGAGTTGAGGCATCCTCTTCCTAGCATTTACTATCTTTCTTCTCTTGTTTCAGGAAAGCAAACAAAAGGGCAAGTCAAAATACTGTGCAGGGGCTGGGAAAGTAAATTATTAAGAGATGGATCCTCTGCAGGGCCCAGGGATTTCTCATTCTTTGATTTCAAAGAAAGGAGAGAGGGCCATGTTAACTTGAAAGCTGATAGACTATTAAAAATATATGAGGGGCCAGGGGCCAGAGCAATAGTACAGCGGGTAGGGCATTTGCCTTGCACTTGGCTGACCCGGGTTCGATTCCCAGCATCCCAAATGGTCCCCCAAGCACTACCAGGAGTAATTCCTGAGTGCAGAGCCAGGAGTAACCCCTGAGCATCGCTGGGTGTGATCCAAAAAGCAAAAAACACGAGATGCACCCAGTACCACTTGGAGGGTTCATGGGAATCAAACTCAGGTCAGGTGCAATGCAAAGAATGTACCTTAACCTCTGTACTGCCTCCCTGTTCCTGGAAAGCAGATTTTTGTAGAATGTGAGGGAACACTATAGAAGTTGAATATTAATGGAGAAAGCTTTTTTTTAAAAACGAAGATGCTGAAGAATATTTCATACAAAAAGATATTCAGGTCTAAAAAATCAAGTGTATATTGCAAACCATTATGCCCAAAAGTATAGAGAGAGTATAGGGGAAATTGTCTCCCATAAAGGCAGAGGAAGGGCTGGGGGAGGGGGGTTAATACTGGGAACATTGGTGGTGGAGAATGTGCACTGCTGGAGGGATGGGTGTTCGATCATTGTATGACTGAAATTCAAACATGAAAGTTTTGTAACTGTATCTCATGGTGATTCAATAAAAATAAAATAAAAAAGCAAATGCATGACAGGAGGAAGAGTAGGGAGTACACGGGACTGACTTTTCCCAGATTTGTTAATTTTTGTAGTACCAGGATTGAATCCAGGAACTCACACATGCAAGGCAAGAGGTCTACCTCTGAGCTACATTACCAGGATATGGTCTGGTAGGCAGTCAAGACCAGGTGGGGGATTTGGTCTTTCTACAGACAACTGGAGTCACTGAATGACTTAGCAGATAGTCTCATCAGCATTCTCCGGAGAAACTCGGGTGGATTCTGCACAGCTAAGAAGCCGTGAGAGGCCCGGCTTTGCTTTCAGACAGATCTATGTGAGTCTGTGGTGTCAGACAGCAGTTGGGACACACTACCCAGAGAGCCATCTCTCCTCTATCCAGAGGATAAAAACCTTAACCTATAAAGGCCAAACTTCACGTCCTCCGTGCCTGTGAGAAGCCGCACAGCCAGACACATGTAAAGCAAGTGTCCTGGCTGCTGTGCTTACTCTGGCTCATGTACTCGATTGTTGGATATTAACTCTAAGTGTTCTAGGCTTCATCAGGGAATTGCCCCTTTTCATCCTTCCAGAGAAGCTTACTGAGCTCTTGCTAGCATCCCTAATCCCCTGAGTTTATTGTTAACTGTTCCTTTGTGTTTTACCTCTCATTGTCACAGTTCCCCAAGTCAGTCTTGATTACTTAATAAGCCAAAGCTTTCTGATAATTCTGAACTTTCTATTTGTAGTGCTTTGTATTTGAAGTGCTGTGTATTTGTACCTGCTTTTCTATTTCCCCTATAGCCTTTTTATATTTTACTATAGAGCAATGTCCTTTGGTTAAACACAGGAACACCAATAATGCTATGCTCCTAATAATATTTGGGAGTTGATTGACTAGGAAATATATCTACTCCTGGTATATATCTGGTATATATAAATATATCTACTCCCGGTATTGGTCATAATTACTTGACTCAGGCTTCAGTTGCTGTATTCCCTAACACCCCAAAATGGAGGTCCCGCCGTGGGACTGATATGGACGTGGGTCAAGTAGCAAAGCTAACCGGATATTGATATGGAACAGTCTAGAAAGCATAAATGCATGGTCTTGATGTAAGCTGTTATGACTTAAGAGACAGGACCCCCATGGGGAAGGACAAGCTGAACTGGCCTGAGGAGACTTAGATTTACAGTAAAAGCCTTGCTTGCTCTCAGAGCCCAGAGAACTAAGTGTTGGGATCTTTGTCTCTTACTGTGTTCATCCAAACAACTGCAAGTATTGATAACATATACAACTAGAGAGGAAGATAAAAGCAATGTAGATGTCCCTGGGACATCCCTTGCATTAATCTTCCCGAGAGAATTTCCTTTGCCAGATGTTTTATCTATGTAAATGATCAATCTAGGTACTATACTTCAACCCTCCTCAGATGTTGTATAAGTATGCTAGCAGCTCTTCATTAAATGGGCCATTTTCACCATTAGGCTGTGGTCCCTGTCTCTCTATCTCTCTGCTGGGGAGGCCTGGGGAGGACAGGAGGTAGCTCTCAGCCACCGAACACACATGCATCGCACAGCCCACATAATACTTTGTGAACTCACTTGATCATGTGGCTGTATTCCAAGACAAGTGCAGACAAGCAGCCCCGATGGACACCCCACCTGAGAGCAGCAGATCTGGGTCTCTGCCATGCCATCTTGGATGCCCAAGGACTTTTTTTTTAAAATCTAGCAATGGACCAACTGCAAAATATCTCTTCTCTTCCTGACAAGCAAAATACAATCTCTTCCATGGGAAGCAAACCCCAACTGGGAGGGCACATATTGTGTTAAAAAGGTGCTCAAAAGCCCAGAAGCCTCCCAGAGTGAGTGAAGCTGCCTGAGGGGTGAACACAAGATTTCTCGCTTTGTCTAATAATTAGCCAAACATCCACTCCAGGAAGCATCTTAGAAAGTGAATTAAGGTTTGCTCAGGCATATGGGACTGTTGCCAAATGCAGTTATCCCGAGTCAATCAAAGCTTCCTGTCTACAGTTTGTCATGCTACAAGTAGGCGTTTTCAGGCAGGTGGGACTTGTACGAATGTCTCCTTCTATGACTCCACTGGGTTGGTCTGAGGAGACAGCAGAAAAAGATGTGGTTTTATGCATTTTGTTCTCTCAATCAATAGATGATCAACCCTAAATATAGGAGCCTGCAAAAATGCCATGCATTTCCCTAAGATTTATGGGAAAGCAAACAAAGGTGAATTTGAGTACAAGTAGAATTTCCTTTCAAGCCATTCAGAGATGCTCTAAGATTGTTAAAATGAGGTTCAGGAGCTGAAGTGACAATACAGTGGTCAGGATGCTTGCTCTACACATGGCTGACCTGGGCTCCATCCCTGGAACCACATATGGCCCCTTAAGCCTGCCAGGAGTGATCCCTGAGTGGAGAGCCAGGAACAAGTTCTGAGTACCACCAGGTGTGGCCCCAAAACAAACAAAAAAATAAAAAGATGTTCAGCTGCGTGCTGTAATCCTTCAGGAGACTGTCCACTTGTAGTCTAGCGCTTTTCTTCTCTCGAATTATGTCTGTGGGCATGTGTACATACATCCTTTTCATTGTGTAGTAACCCTTTGTGTAGTAACCCAAACAACCATTGTTATAGTGATGAGCACTTGGAGCCATTCCATTCTGGGATGCTTTACTACTGAGCTGTGTCCCCAGTTCTCTTCATTTTTCTTGCGGGGTGGGAGGGGGGCTCCCAAATGGTGCTCAAAAGCCCGAGGGTCTCTCCTGGTGTTCCTGGGTCAACCAGACCAGTGACTCAATGCAAGGGGCAGAGGATATGGTGCACCTCAGGTTCCATGGGATTACTTGGCTGACCGTGGTGGTGCTCATGGGACCAGGAGTCAAGCTAGAGTCACCTTAGCTCCTGACCATCTGGCTTTCTGGTCCCATTTTTTATTCATTTTCTAAACTGTGACTTGTGCAGTTCCTATGTCTAAGACATAGCAGAGTCAAAGGCAGGAAAATCCTACAAAACTTTCTTGTAGGTTTTTTCTAATTTATTTTTATAACTTATTTTTTCTAATTTATTTCTAATTTTCTTTCTAATTTATGCCTTTTTATGACAACAGCATTCGCTAGTTTTTGAAAGTGAATGGGCAACATAGAGGCGGCCCAGACCCACTTTCCAAGAGTCATCCTGGAGGATGTGTATCACGGCCTCTGCTTCTGATCCAACTCTGCCTTTCCCTAGTGGTTAATTAACTCAAGGAACAGTTCTTGGAAGCATCTTCACCTCTAAGCTCTCTCTCTGCCATGGATTTGTTGAAGAAGCTGTAAGACCTCCCTATTTTCCAAGAAAACCTGAGTACATGGTTGGGATACACAGCTTACAGTTGTTGCCAGGTGACTACGTTTTACAGACCGGCTGGCCTTGTTGCGATTCTACACGGGAACCCAGCCCATAAAAACAGTCACTGCCCAGGGGGCGGGGGCATCTCTCAGTGGGCTGGCGTGCACACCTGGCACACAGACGTCTGGAGTTCAATCCCCAGAGTGACGTGCTATGCTGGGCACCACTATGAGTAGCCCTGCTGGCCTCATCACACAGCTGAGCTGAGCACCACCACGAATGGCACTAGGGGCCCTTGAGTACTGCCCTGGAGATCACTTCCCTCCCTCCCTCCCCTAAAAAGAAAAAGTAACCGTCACTTCCTGGGTCCACTGCTTTCAGAACAACCCCACAGCTCCATATAAGTCAGGCACATGATTTTGAGTGTTAACTGGCTTCTTTCCAAGTGAATGCAGTGTCAATGCAGTGTCTATCCCTGCAATCCTTTACAAAGGATTTTAGAACAGGAATAGACACTGGATTTTGATGGGAAAATCTTTCCTAACTGATGAGAATGCTGGTAAAAAGAGGCCCAGTCCATTTTGGAAAGTTCTGGGAAAGATTGATGAGCAAACAAAAATTCTGGTCCCTAAGGCTGCCAATACAGTGAGTGATCTTGTGGAAATCACAGAACCTTCTGGGCTTCCATTTTTGCATCCCAACAGCGGCCTGGGAAGTACTTTCTCTTTTTTGTAATTTGGGCTGAGCAGCTGAGCGCTTGTTACCTGGGGTGCTGTGGCAGGGCCCAGAGGTCAGGCCGAAGCTCAAGTGGAAACAGTTCAGGGTTAATTACTGACATGGGACTAGTGGATGGAAGGGCAGCCTCTGGGCCAGGTATTTGTCACCTGCAGACGAGTCTCCAAGGACGCTTCTGGCTCTGACAGTTGGTACAGTGCATGCTGGATCAACACTCTTACTCCATATGGCTTGGAAATGGGGCCTTGGGCTAATGACGCTCACTCGGGAAGAGCAACTTCTAATTTTCTATATGTTAGAGTGGAGTATGTATAAAACCTCTACTGTACAGAATGATCTCTCTCAAACGTGGGACTTGAAGATACACAACAAGGTGGAACAAAGGGCCAAAGGCAACCCAATAGGGAAACTGATTCATGCAACGATGTTGCTATAGAGTGGGCTCAACGTTGAGAGGAAGGAGTGTTGGGGTCCTTTGGGGAGGGAGGTGGGTACACTGATGATGGGTATGATGTTGGAAGTATCTACACCAGAAATCATTATTGACAGTACTGTAAACAACAGAATTTCAACTGATTTTTTTAATACTTAATATTTTAATATTTAATATTTTTAATTAAAAACTAAAATAAATAGGGCTGGTGTGATAACACAGCAGGTAGGGCACTTATCTTGGCATGCGGCCGACATGAGTTCAATCCCTAGCACCCCAAATGGTTCCCTGAGCCCCTCCAGGAGTGGTCCCTGAGCACAGAGCCAGGGGTAAACCCTGAGCACTGCCAGGTGTGGCCACAAAACAAAACAAAAAAAATAATTGATTAATTAAAGTTGCTATCACAAACACTATTTCATTTTCTCTTGTGATGGTTTTAAGCACCAGTGTGTGAGGCTTCTGGAGAATCCTCACAAGCATAAATGATCATACTGGGAAAGTCTAATCATCCTGGTCAGTAGACAATTCTGGAAAAGTGCATCCAAGGAGCCACTGTTCTATTTGGTGCTGACTGAGAAATGAGAGTGACTAATCTATGGCTTCAAGAGAACTCAAAGAGGAGTTTTCTATTAGTCAACTATCACCAGCTACTACTCTTTCCCAACTGCAAATCACTCTACCACTTGGGCTCTGGGCAATCTCAGAAGTCTGTGGCAAGGCCTCCTACAAAAAAATGTGCTTTTTCCTCCACCCCTCGAGAAGCAACGGGAAGAAGGCCCTGAAAGGTATTTAACTTTGCCCTTTCACCAGTGCTAGCTCTCTGGGCCTCACTCTGTTGTGAATTTGGAACCAGCCTTGGTCTGTACATGTCATGATCACCTGGGGGAAATGTCACCTTGGGGGCCAGACCAGGTCCCCTAGGTGCAATCTGCAGTGAATTGGGGCTCAGGGAATGGAATGACGAGCTCCCTGGAGTCACAACAGCTTTCTGGTTCCTGCTTCCAACTCTGATGACGCTCTGCTCTCTACGCGTGTGTCTGTTGTGGTATCCCTGCATCCTAAGGCGCTCTCATCCCCGCAGATGCAACTCAAGGTTCGGTGAATGAGCACTTCCTACATTCCTCAGCCCCACCCATAGGTATTCAGTACCCAGGCAAGACGTAGACATGGGCAAGGGCAGTGGAGAAGACACTTGAGGAGCAAAGGCAGACGGGGAAGAGAAAGGGGACTGGAAGGAATGAGACGAGAGAGCAGGAGAGGAAAGAGAAGGAGAGAGGGAGAGAATGAAAGCTAAGGCAGCAGGGAGGAAAAAAGGAATGATGAAGGCAAACGGATGAGCCTGAGGTTGAAGTCTTCATTGCTCTGAAGTCAAAGCCCCCCTCTAAGAAGAGGGTGGGGGAAGAGAAGCACAGACCCTGCTTTATTCTTTGCAAATGAAAAATAAAAGTCTGCAATGAATAACAGGGACAATAAAAGCCTGGTCCCTGCCATTCCAGGAAACTGGAGTGAACACATTTATACATTAGATACACAATGACTTTACCCACTGCATGTTGTATAGTCCACAGGGCGTTGGACAGCGGAGTGAGATTCCACTTTTGCACAGCAAACTGACAGCTTAAACTCTTAGAGCAGGGTGTTCTGGGGCTGGAGTGATAGCACAGCGGGGAGGGCATTTGCCTTGCACTTGGCCCGCCCGGGTCTGATTCCCAGTATCCCATAGGGTTCCCCAAGCACTGCTAGGAGTAACCCCTGAGCAAAGCCACGTGTGACACACAAAAGAAAAGAAAGGAAAGGAAAGGAACGGAAAGAAGAGAAAAGAAGAGAAAAGAAAAGAAAAGAAAAGAAAAGAAAAGAAAAGAAAAGAAAGGAAAAGAAAAGAAAAGAACCCTAGTGCAGGAAAATACAGTCAACCCGGATGACCAGATGGGGGACGTGCTGAGCAGCCAAGGGCAGCGCCTTTCACTTTGACTAAGTCTTACTATGAGTTTGCTTTGCCCACTGGAGTATTTTATGTGCCTATAACTCAGTTTAAAAAAAAGAGAGAAAATTAGCTACACCACCCCCCCAAAGAAAGAAAGAAAGAAGAGTGACCTTGGCACGGGCCTCCCGGGACGCCTCGGCCTCGGCAGCCATGGCTCTCTGCAGCTGCACTGGGAGTTTCACGTCCTTGATCTCCACACGCTCCACCTTGATGCCCCAGTCGTCAGTGGCGTCATCCAGGGTGCTCTGGCGGGGGAGACACAGACAGGCTAGAGGGATCCCGGGCTGTGGGGCTCAGTGGGTGGAGCCGAAAAGGCCCAGGGGAGATGTGGAAGGATTCGGTAGCCTGTGCAGGGGTATAGCAGGAGGGGCTGGGGCTCCTTACTGATCCCCAGTGTGACTAAAAAGCTAAATCAGGTGTTGCCAAGGTTTCCTGAAAGCGTCAGGGGAACAGTTTCCTCTTAGGCTCCGTGGCTCTATTTGCCTCGGTAGATCCGAGGCAGCTGTGGCTACGACCTAACCCAGTGGGCGTGACTGTATTTCAGAAAAACTGAGGGAAAAGGAGGACCAGGACCCAGAGCCAATGACAGAGTGTCACTTCTCTGCACTTGAAGTTCTTCTGTTCACAGCAACGTGATAGAATCACAGTAATTCATGGTTGCCAGGGGTCATGGTCCTCCAAGTTCTCCCTACCTTATGTTCTGTACGGTGAAGGACAAAGACACACAGACACAGACACACAGCACAGATGCATAGACACAGACACACACACGCACACACACATGCATGCACACACATGCACACATGCACATACATGCACACACGCATGCATGCATACACACATGCATGTACACATGCATGCAACACGCACGCACGCATGCATGCACGCACACACACACGCATGCACAGACAGACAGGACTGATGGGGGCGAAGAGGAGGGGTCCACTGTCCTCACCTGCATGTTGTGCGCAATCTCCTCCCTGTCCGAGAGGATCTGAGAAAGATTTTTGGTGCCCAGGACGTTTCTCAGGGTGGTTTGTGCCAGCAGTCGGGTCGCAGAGTCAGCGTTGGTGATATTGGCCACGGCCAGGGTGGCGTTCTGCACGCGGTAGTAGACCACACCATCCACGCTGATGGTCACGGAATCCTTGGTGAGGATCTGCCACGGAAAGGGGGCAAGTTCGCATCAATTGACTATTTCTCCCATATCACAGTACGGGATCTCATCCCGTAGAGCCTCTTCTCACTCTGGCTGCTGTTCTTTGTTTTGGGGGGAGGAGGGGTGGGCTCCCCCAAAAGTTTTCAGGAGGCCGGGGGCCCCATTGGTTATTCTCAGCCAACTGGGATGTTGGTTTGATATAAGGGCCCGAGGATGCGATGCTCCTCGAACTCAAGGCTCCCCAAGCTGTCCTGGCAATTCTGGGGGTCTCCCAGGCCACATCTGGCAGAGCTTGGGGGGCCTCCAGGGCTGCAGCTGGTAGTGCTCAAGATTATACCCAGAAATGTTTGGGGGACCACTTAGGAATTACCCCTGGCAGGACTCAGGGGGCCATATGGGGTGCCCGGGATCGAACTTGGGCCGGCAAGTGCAAGACGAGCACCTTAGCTGCTATACTCTCTCTCCAGCCCCTGGCAGGTTTTCTTCAGTCAGTGCAATCGACAGAATGTTTGTGTTCCCCTAAAGTTCTCTGGATAACACCCACTTTTCCCTGAGCTGGTATTTGGAGGTGGGGTGTTGGGAGGTGGTGATGCCTTGAGGGTGTGGGATTCGCCCCTAGAGCGAGTTCTTATGCAAAGTGCTTCTTTAGCCCTTCTACTTTGACTATAAAATCTGTGAGTCAGGAACAGGCGCTACCAGATGCCACATCTACCAGAGCCTTGAGCCCTAACTTTCCCCTATCACGAGTGAAAATACAGATCTCTGTGTTTATAGGCCCCACAGTGTGTGGCATTTTACTGGAGTAACCCAAAGCAGCTAGGACAGCAAAACACCTGAAAGTGAACTGCTTTTAAAATATCAATTAAGGGGCCGGAGAGATAATACAGTGAGTAGGGTAGGGCACTTGGCCTTGCTGACCTGGGTTAAAACCCAGCATCCCATATGGTCCCCTAAACACCAGGAAGTGATTCCTGAGTGCAGAGTGAGGAGTAAACCCTGCACACCACCAGGTGTGGTCCCAAATCCGAAAGAAAAAAAAGGAAGATAACATTCAATTAGATACATCTATTTTAAATTCTACAACTACAGTTAGTAAGAGTGAGGAGAGGAGAATTAAATAAAATTTAAGAGAAAATCTAAATAGGCATATAAAAGTGTGTTTTATCCTAAACAGGGATTATTGGATTTATGCTAGAAAATATTGTAGGTAATGCTTAAGCATAAGCATTAATAAATAAAAAGATTATAATAAAAGACTCTACTGAAAGGAAAAAAGTGTCTGCCATAGAAGCATGTTGGGGGGACCAGAAGAGAAACTGGGGACAGTGGTGGAGGAAAGTGGACACTGGGATTGGTGTTGGAATATTGTACACTTGAAACTCAATCATAAATAACTTTGTAACTGTGATTCATGATGATTCAATAAAAAAATTTAAAAATTAAAAAATAAATAAATAGGGACTGGAGCAATAGTACAGCAGGTAGGGCATTTGCCTTGCATGCAGCCGACCCGAGTTCAATTCCCAGTATCCCATAGGGTCCCCCGAGCACTACCAGGAGTAATTCCTGAGTACAGAGCCAGGAGTAACCTCTGTGCATCGCCGGGTATCACCCGAAAAATAAATAAATAAATAAATAAATAAATACATCTATTTGAGGTTGGGGGGGTGGCTCAGTGGTCAAGTATATGCCTGGCATGTGGAGGAAGCCGGGTTCAATCCCAGACACTGCAAAAACAACAAAGACATTTACTCATTAACCCCATGCCACTCATTCAATACACACCGAGATGTACACCGAGATGTGAAGGGAAGCGGCCAGCACTGTCCTGGAAGGGTGGGGTGTGTGTGTGTGTGTGTGTGTGTGTGTGTGTGTGTGTGTGTGAAATTTGGCTCCTATGTTTGAGAAAGCAGGGAAGGCTTAAAGAAACAGGGCATGGGGAGGGGGGTGGAGGGAGTGGGAGGCAATGAAAACTGAGTGTGAGAAGGTGCGAAGGCCAGGGGGTGCCTGGATTTGATGGATGAGCTCTACACAGAACAGTAAGGCGAGGGCAAAGAGGGAGGATGGTGCGTGTTCCTGGAGGCTGAGACCAGTAGACAAACACACTTACAGCTCATGAGAGCACTTCTCATGCACGAGTACATCAGGGCAAAGCCCCAGGATTCAAGAGTCTTGTGTCTGCTCCTTCACCTCCCTCCCTCCCCCAATCCTGGACACCCCCTTCTCCACCAGGCCCCACAGGCACCCCCTGTTGGTGTCCCCAGGCCTTTCTGCAGCTGAGCCTTCTGCTTGAATGTCCTCTCCCAGCCTGTTGGCTTGTCGCCCTCCCAACTTCCACCTGGCACAGTCTCCCTCGTCCTTCAAGCCCCAGCTCAAGTGTCCTGGTCTCTGGGAAGTGTCCCTGACTCACTCCACAGAGTAAAACAGGCTCCCCCTTGGCGCCTGCCCCAGACGTCCAGTCCCGACTTACTTCCTCATTCCTGTTCAGGTTGATTATGAATTTTTCCTTCTGGGCTGGAGGGTTGCCTTGCAAGCCATGCTCAGGGGGCTCCAGGGGCCTGGGGGCGGGGAGGGCGCTTGGACAAGGGGGCTGGATAGCTCAAGGTGGTACCACTCGGGCCTTGTGATGTCTGGGCCCCCCCACCCAGGGGCATATTCAGAGCCACAGCTGGCAGTACCAAGGGGGCCTCCCGGGTCACACCTGGCAATGCGGGGCAGTGGCAGGGCAGAGCTGGTCTCCTCTGGCCCTAATCCCATGCTATTTCACCAGCCTCTATAAGAACAAATTTCTCTGAGGGCGGCCGGGCTTTGCATCACTGGCACCAGCTCGATGTTTGACACAGAGCAGGCAGTGGGTGGCGAGATGGATGAGGATTGGTGCGGGGTCTCCGTGACAAAGAGCCCTGGGACATGGGGCCTCAACCTGAACGTCTCTGAAAGTTCCACTGAGACCCTTGGGCATGGGGCCCATTTGAAAGTGCCCCAGAGCCATGTCCGTGGGAAGTGAGCCACTGATCTGACCCTGCCCTGGAGACGTGCCAGGACAAGGCGCCCTTGGCGAGGAATCTGAAAATACTGGGCAGAGACATGGGGGTGTGGGGGGCGAGGTCACACCTAGATGCCCAATCACGGGCTCTGGTCCCAGCATCTGGTGGGAAAGGGCGCATGCCCTGAAGGGGATGGGCAAACCGGGTGGCGCTGCCCACAGCCCATCTGCGGGCTATTGATCAGAGGCAGAGTGTTTATCTCCCACAGCCGGGCGGGGCTGGCAGCGACCCTGCCAGATGCCTGCCTTGCCCTGTGGCAGTGCCAGCAGCACTCCCAGCCACCGCCCACCCCCCACAGAGACGCCTGCTGAGAGTCCAGCTTCCCCGAGAGGTGGGGTGCCAGGGAGGTCCTCAGCCGTGCTGAAGGAGGGGGAGAAAAAGGCGCCCTGGGGGTCACCATGAAGGTGTGGCTGGCAACTCCCAATCCTTTTTTTTTCTTTTTCTTTTTTGGGTCACACCCGGCAATGCACAGGGGTCACTCCTGGCTCTGAACTCAGGAATTATCCCTGGCGGTACTCAAGGGACCATATGGGGTGCTGGGAATCGAACCCGGGTTGGCTGCGTGCAAAGCAAACGCCCTACCTGCTGTGCTATCACTCCAGCCCCGTAATGGCCAATCTTAAGGAAGGACTTGGATCAGAAGCAGCCAGGCTCCTGGGATGGGTTCTGAGGGTGTGACTAAAGAAGGCTTCGGGGCCAGCCCCCTCTGACCCCCACACCCCACACCCCACCAGGAGAACCTGGCCAGTGGCTGGCAAACCCTGCGGGCACACTGTTGCCCCTTCCTTCTGCACACCGCCAGGCTTCCCAGCCCCTAACACCTGAGTGCCAGTGCAGCCTGCATGGCCCCAAGGGCCTGGACAGGGCTCATACAGAATGTGATGGCAAGCTGGGCCACCAGCCCTCCACCCAGGGGCCGCTCGGTCCTGGCTCTGCCCCTGCCATCTGGGGGCATTCCTGGGCTCCACACCACTGGTTAGGGATTCTGCAGCAAGCTTCAACAAGGATGGGATTCGTGCAGAGAATGTGGACTCCAGGCCGACACAGGTGGTGCTTGATCAACAATGGCAAGGGAGCAGTTTCTCATCCTCGGCTCCTAACCGACTTTTCTGAAATAACATCAGGTCCCAAAGAACAAAGACGAGGGTGCTAAATGGGGTTTTCCATGAGAAACACTTGAAGTGGAAATGGCGAGGTAAACCATGATGATGGCAGCAAAGATAAGGCACCTTGCTCTGGGCTGACACCATGGGACGTTGTGTACCAGTTACCAGCATAACGGCTTCATCTGACACAGTCCTGAGCACGTTCTGTTCAGCCCCGACAAAGCGATTTGCAAAGTGCCCACCAATGAAGCCTTGAGCCAGGTCAATGGTCAAAGAGAATGCTTCAATGGACAATGCTGCCCCTGCCCAGCAATCTCCTACACACACGCATGCACACATGGGCACTCACACAGCCACAGGACTCTTACCTCCTGCGGAGGAATATCAAATGAAATGGTTCTCATGTCCACTTTGATGAAGCTGTCGGTGCACGGCAGGATGAAAAACAAGCCTGCAACAGAGACACAGGCACTGAGGGCGGGACACAGCACCCCCACCTCGCCGCACCCCTGCCCCTGGGATCCACCCCCTGCTTCCTCTCGGCGCATGCGCCCTGTGCTGGGCCTGCACTCCTGATGCGTCCTGCTGCCACTTCCGCCCACCCACGGCTAAGTCTTTCCACCCGGGCTGAGCGCTCCATGTCCTTATTCTACAGACTCGTGCCCTCCCCGTGTTACACCAGTGCAGACATCCCTCTCGGGGCTGGAGCGATAGCACAGCTAATAGAGTGTTTGCCTTGCACGCAGCCGACTGGGGTTCAATTCCCAGCATCCCATATGGTCCCCCAAACACCATCAGGAGTGATTCCTGAGTGCATGAGCCGGATGTGACTCAAAAAGTAAAAAATAAAAAGACATCCCTCTCTATCTCTCTGCCTCCTCAAGGGTCGCAGAATCCACTTGCTAAGCTGCCCGTAGAACAAAACTTCCCCTGGCCAGGCCATGCAAGACCCCCGCATGCCCAATTCAGCATCCTCCTCTCCCGCCCCTGTACTCTCAAGCGTTCCTCGGGGCTGCAAGGCTCCTCCTCCTCCTCCTCAGCGTGGCTCTGACCCAGGATGCGGAGCTGCTCCTGCCAGAACTCGCACCTCATGCCCAGCCCGTATTGGATGAGGAATCTCCCCCAGAAGGCTGCATCTCATCAAATGACGTGGGTGACCCGCTCTTCCCTGGGTTTCCATAGCTCTGCAGTTACTGGCTCGCCCTGAGACAGCATCTCTGCTTCTCTCTTGGGGTGCCACCATGGCCAGTAGGGTCCCTGAGTCACAGTCAAGTGCTGTAACTCCCCTTGGATCTGGGACACAGTACTTTCATTAAGTAGTAGCTTAATGAAAGACTCCCCCAAACAATGATGTAGGGACTTGATTTTTCTCAGGCATCATTCTGCCCACACATCCAAAGCTGCAACTATTGCTGGCTCACAACAATCTTATGGGCTCCAGTGGGAAAGGATTGGGGGGTGGGAAGGGGCAGAGTGTGCAGGAAAAAAAAATTATTCCAGCACCACGGCTATTATTTGAAGACTAATACTACAGGAGCTCTGTTCGCCATCAGCAGAGTAGGAACCTGCAGAATCTAAGGAAGAAATTCTCTCTCCAAACAATCCAGAATCCAGCACTGACCGGGCCCTTTGGCGCCTCCTTGCAGAATGCGTCCCAGTCTGAAGATGATGGCTCGTTCGTACTCTTTTATGATCTAGATGAGAGAAACGCATTCAAACATGAGGAGCGCAGACATAGTTCTCTAAATATACGTGGATTTCGGTGCTAAACAGGTTAGAGGCCTGGAGTTTGGTTTTTACTCTTTAATTAACTCAGATGGTATCTATAAACAGGCCCATTTTTAATTACCCATATCATGCCTATTTACCATATATATAGTTTACTGATTAAAAAAGCAATAGATATTTATTATATAAACATTAGAAGGTATAGACTAAGTACACAGGAACAAATCCATAACTCCATTCTCCAGCTGTTAATATTATCATCCAATTACTCAAACATCACTGGGGGGGGGGGGGACTGGGGATGGGGAAGGTTGGGCCATGCCGAGTCATGCTCAAGGACTATTCCTGGCTCTGTGCTCAGGAGTGGCCCTTAGGATTCTATATATGGGGTTAGGATTCCAACTGGGTTGACAGGAAGCGAGGCAAGTGCCTTAGCCCCTGTATTAGTCAGCCCCTCAAGCATTATTTTTTTCACTTATTTATTTATTTTATTTATTTATTGCTTTTTGGGTCATACCCAGCGATGCTCAGGGATTACTCCTGGCTCTGCACTCAGGAATTACTCCTGTTGGTGCTCAGGGGACCATATGGGATGCTGGGAATCGAACCTGGGTCAGCCGTGTGCAAGGCAAACGCCCTACCAGCTGTACTATCACTCCAGCCCAAGCACTACTTGGGAAGCTAAAGGCTTCCAGGAATGTGCGGATGATAGCCACTTTTAAAAGTACTTATAACTTTGAGGAAAATGTAACCAGCCCTGAGAGGAATGGCCCTTAACACGTGCCAGGCACTTGTAGGGAGTACGTTCATTAACCCTCACAATGCCCCTGTGAGGTGGGTATTGTGGAGGTCAAACCCAAGGTCTCACACACATGTTCTCCCTTGGAGTCTCATCAGGTGAGGTAACAGGTAACAAGGAGACTGTCAGAGGGTGAGGAACTGAGCCTGTGCCCCAACTTGCCTCCTGACTCTGGGGAATTTGTCTCACAGGACCAACCCATATCCCCTGCCCCAGAAAATGTGGCAATCCTTAGTTTACCCCCTGCTCCTGCCACCCCTCTCTCTCTCCCTCTCTCTCCCCTCTATCTCTTCTCTATATGTCTCTCTCTTCCCTCTCTCCCCTCTCTGTCTCTCCTCTGTCTCTCTCTCCCTCCTCTCTCCTCTCTGTCTCTCTCTCCCCTCTGTCTCTCTCCTCTCTCTATTCCTGTCTCTCTCTCCTATCTCTCTCCCCCCCCTTTCTTCTCTCCCCTATCTGTCTCTCTCCTCTTGCTATGTCTCTCTCACCCTCTCTCTTCTCTCTCTGTCTCTCTCCTGTCTCTCCTCTCTCTTCTCTCTCTCTCTCTGGATTCCATTCCACATACCAAGTTCTTTCACGGTGCTGGAAGCGACCCCTTTGCCCAGGGGGATGGGCGATTTCTTACCTTGATGCACATCCATACTGAGATTGGGAACGTAACCAGGGTGAACAGGAATGAGGCAACCACCAGGATCCACCCACAAGGCCCAAGGCCTGTGGCAGGGCTGTCTGTGAAAACAAAAGTCAGGAAGCTCTCACTGTGAGTGGCACCATCCGCGGCTCCGTTTCCTCACCGCCAACACCCCAGGTTGGTGTGGCACGGGGGACAGATTGCAAATCTTCCCATTGAACCTCAAGCCAAGCCAGCCGCAAAAGTGCCTCTGTCCCTCCCCTGCTTAACGCAACCACACCTGTACAAATATTTTTACATGCCTCTTGGCTTTTTCCAGAGAATGCTTACGAAGCAGCTGATTTTGATTATGCCCATGTTTGGCACTGAAGGGGTCAAAGTGGTCAACCCCATCCCAGCTCTCTGGAAGGCCGACGTCTCATGGGCAAAACAGAGAGACAGGATTATAAAGAGTGCATGCACAGAAGCATGAAGCAGAGCAGAGGTGAGCTTGCACAGCTGGGATGGAGAGGAAAGAACAAAGAGGTCACGTCTGTATGGGTACCGTGGGCTGCCACGGAAGACCTGCAGGACTCAATGGTTAAGGAAAATCCCAATAAAAAGGAAGGGCAAGGACAGAAAAGGGCATTTGGGCTGAGGGTACAGGAAGTAAAGGTGAAAAGGCTTTGTGTCTGAGAGTCTCTAGGGAGGAGAGGCTAGAGGGGGGCTGAGGGGGGCTTCTCCCAGTGGTGCTCAGGGCTCACTCATGGCTTTATGGTCAGGGCTCACTCGGGGAGATGCTCAGGGCTCACTCGGGGAGGTGCTCAGCGTATCCTCTGTGGTTCTGGGGGTTGAACCAGAAATGCCCGCATGCAAAGCCGGCCCCTTAACACCTGCACTATCTCTCTAGTCAAGAGTCTGTTTTTTAAGAACATCCAGAGATTATTTCATGGGGTATACACATCACAGTTTGGTACCTATGTCAAGTTATTCAGCAGTTTTTTCCAGGACCCTTGGGATTATTAGCAATACTGTAAGTATTTTTTCTCTTGGATTTCCATTTCCTTACATGTAAGATGAAATTGGGTTTGCCTGATTTCAAAACAAATACAGGGCCCACTACCAAAAATTCAGAAAACTATTTAAAGGGGGGGGGGAATACTCAATCCAGACATTTGCTTCCAATCTTTATTTTTTTTGGATGAATACACAATCTTTATTAAAAACCAACAAACAAAAAAACCTTCAACCCCACTATTCTTTCACCACCTTTTTTGCCTTCGTGGCTCAGTATACAGGCTTTTAAATTTCTCCATTAATATATGGGGGGGGGGGTGGCAGTTGCCAGGGAGATAGTACAGCAGGTAGGGCACTTGCCTTGCACTCGGTCAACACGGGTTCAATCCCAGGTACCCCCACAAGGTCCTCTGAGCCCCTCCAGGAGTGATTCCTAGGTGCAGAGCCAGAAGTAAGCCCTGACCACCGCTGAGTGTGGCCCCCAAGCAAAAACCAAAAAAAAGTCAAATGGTTCTACTGGATCAGTACAAATTGCGGAGCCCCTAAATTCTTCAAAGGCAACTGTTGTCAGGGCTGAATATCTGGCTATTTACCTCCATGCTTCTGAATTTGCTCATTTGGCTACTTGTTGATTTTTTTGGTTTGGAGCCTGATCACCTGACTTTCATCTCCTGGAGAGAATGTGCTTCTCTTCTCTAGTAATACAAACAGATCCCTCCTTCTAATATATATATATATATTGCTTTTGGGGTCACACCCGGTGTTGCACAGGGGTTACTCCTGGCTCTGCACTCAAGAACTACTCCTGGCAGTGCTTGAGGGACCATATGGGATGCTGGGAACCGAACCCGGGTCGGCTCCGTGCAAGGCAAATGCCCTACCCGCTGTACTATCGCTCCGGCCCCCAGACCCCTCCTTTTAATGGTACCATCGCTGTGTTTAGTCAGCGCAGCTCCAAATGTTGCATAATTGCGACCATGGAAGCATGATTCTAAGCTAAGCACTGCAGGAGGTTCAATTTAGGTTTCCTTTCCCGTACTCGTGTTTGGTTTGTTTTCCTGGGGTCATTGTTCTGACTTTCCCCCTTTGTTTGGTTTTCCTCCTTTCGAGTTTGTTCCTTTTCTGTGGAGCCCAGAGGGGATGCCATCGCTTTTCTTCGAACCAGGGACGCCTACTACGGCCTTCTCGGGAACGGTTTTGAGGGTGGCAGAAAGAAGGACAAGAGTGGAAGCAGATGCCAAGCAAAGAGGGCATTAGACAGAACCAAACAGACGGGAGGCCAGGAAGGAACCAAGGGAAGGCCGGAGAGAGGGAGGGAGGAGAGGCAAGCTGGCATCCAGGCGGAGAATCCCCTCAAAATGAGGACAAAGACCCAGAAGCAGATAGGACTTTGTCGGTTAGAGAGAACATAACCATCGTTTCTTGGGTCACGGGCATGGGATGAGGGAGCACTGGGTCCCCCTAAGGATGTAAAGTGATGCAAGTTCATCCCAGAAGCGTGTCTGATTTCTGGACACACTTGCCAAGCGCACAGAGGTGCATGTGGAGGAGGTTGTCTCAGGTATGACTGGGCATGATAATCACAGCCCCCCCTCCTTACAGCAGGGCCCTTAAACTTTTCCTCCTCACGACCCCGTTTGGTCCAAGAAGTAGAACACAGGAGCACTGTCAGCGACCCTTCAGATTCGTTAGGCATTTGATTTGTGTCTTCGAGGGCTTTCGATGGAGGAGGGGTTGGGCCACATTCAGCGGTGCTCAGGGCCTACTCCGGGCTGTACTCAGAGGTCACTCCTGGCAGTGTTTGGAGGACCACATGCAATGCTGGGATCAAACTGTGGCCGTTTGCATACCAACGTATGTGCCTATGTACCATATGCATACAAGGCAAGTGTCTAAACCCCTCTTTAACCCCTGTAGTATCTCTCCAGTCCAAAGAATTTCTTCCTTTTCCTTTTTCTTTTTTTGGGGGGTGGGGGAGGGCATGGGGGGGCATTTGGGTCATAGCTGGTGGTGATCAGGACTTGTTCCTGGCTTACTCCTGGCTCTGAACTTAGGGATTACACTTGGCAGTGCTCAGGGAACCATATATGGTGCTGGGGATCAAACCTGGGTTGGCCATGTGCAAAGCACAACCTTTATAGCCCTCTTCATTGCTTTTGAATTATTTTTGGTCCTTGCACATTCAGACACTCTTTTGCTATTGCCAAATTTTTCACGACCCCCATACTCTGTTCTAACTCACAGTTTAAAGTAGGCCTTAGATGTTTTGTTATGTTTAGCCAGACACTGCACTAAACTACTTTTTTGTTTGTTTTTGAGCCACACCCAGCAATGCTCAGGGGTTACTCCTGTCTCTGCACTCAGAAATCACTCCGGGCAGTGCTGGGTAGTGAGGGGTGGGGTGGGAGGGGGACCGTGTGGGATGCCACGATGGAACCTAGGTCAACTGCATGCAAGGTAAATGCCCTACCCCTATACTATTGCTCGGGGCCCAGTGTTAAATTACTTTAGAGAAGCATTTCTCAATATTTTCCAACCAAGTTCCCCTTCCATCCTTGCTTCCTTTCTGTGGACCCCTCATCCTATTGCTTGGCCCCTAGTCTCATGTCATGGACCCCCATTGGTGCAACTTTCAAACCCCCTTAAAATATCTTGGGAGGCCCTTGAGAAATGCTACTTAGATGTATCTCTCTTTTGGTCTTCACAATATCCTGTAAAAGTTTTTTGAGGGTAGGGGAGATATGGCCAAACTCAGTAGTGTTCAGGGCCTATTTCTGACTTAGTGCTTGGGGATAATTTCCCCGGTGCTATTGGGGGGGGGGGGGGGGCACGCAGTGCTAGGAATCAAACCCATGCCCCTGGATGCAAAACATGTGCTCCAGTCTTTTGCAATACCTCTAGGCCCTCTGCTATGTATTTTTATGGTGTGTGTGTGTGTGTGTGTGTGTGTGTGTGTGTGTGGTACAGAGATTAAACCAGGGTGTACACATGCTTGGCATGTGCTCTCCCACTGAACTAAATCCTGGCCTCTCTTGAATTAGTCCCACTTTACAAATAAGGTCACTAATGTCACACAACATTCCCAAGCTGTCATAACAGGGGACGTGGGAATCTAACCGAGGTCGTTGGGCTTCCACCGCAGCCCAGGCTATAAGTCTCTTTATCCCCTGTTGTGACACCTCCAAATAGCGCGGTTTCATTTTTTCTTTAAACAGTGCAGCCTTGCAAATTTGGAGGTTGGGGAAGGGGGCAACACCTGGGAATGCTCCTCCTGGCTCTGTACTTTGGGATCACCCCTGGTGGTGCTCAGGGCACCATATGCAGTGCCATGGAGGATATGGGGGTCAACTGCAGGGAAAGCAAATGCCTGGCCCCCTGCCGTTCTCTCCAGGTTCCCCTCACCCCCTGCCCCCTGCTCGAACTTTCTCGAACTTTCTCAAGACCCTTTGCAAAGCCGGGGAAAGCCCAGCAGGAGTTCTGAGAATGAGACCTGATATTCCTTGAAGCGGAAGCCCTTTCATTCCAATGGCACCTATTTATAGCAAAAGATCCACTCACGGCTCTTTGCCAAGCTCGGGGTTTCCAAAGTTAACTGGATTCCAAATAAGGCCGAGACTGGCCACAGATACTTTCCTAAGAGCAGTTGGTGCTTTCTAAAATATTGTCACACGCTCCCACGTGTTGGGCATAGTTCACGGATCCCCATGCTAAAGGCAGAGGCATTTTCTCTCTGTGTGTGTCTACTCAGTGCCCAGGCCGGGGTCCTGCAGAGGGTGGAGACAGAGTATTTCCTACTCAGCTTCACCATTCCGTGCATCTTCTCTCTCCTGTAAATTCTGACAGCACTTTCTTTTCCTTTAGAAAAAGGGACTCATCCCCAGGGAGTGCTTCTGAGACCCAGAGCCTCCATGGGAATTCTCAGGCAGTCAGGCCCATGGTTCAGTGTCTGGGCCCGGGTACCCGGTGCTGATCAGGTCCTGCAGTGCCCGGGATTACCTGGGGGTGCGGGGCTGAGAAGAGAACCTGGGTTGTGTGGATGCGGAGCATAGATAGAGATGCCTTCCCTTCTGTATTTGATCCCAGCACTCTGGACCTGAGTTTG